CTGCGTCTACAGCAGCCTCACGCATGGGTGCCGGTACCGGGCACAGGAATGATGGGCGCTGGGGCTACACGCACAGAGAAACAGGGAAATCTTTATTTCTTCTATTAAAAAGATGCTATCTCTGAATTTGACCTATGTGGGTGCTTCTTCTGCTTCCTTTTGCTGCCTTAGAAAGGTTTCTCTCTGTTTGCTTCATTCGGGTAAACTCTGCTTAAAATCAGTGGAAGTGGGAGCATTGAGACCTGATACCACCCGAAGGACCGGCGGTGACTGGGGCTGGAGGCGGCACGCTCTCCCTCCAGCACGCTCTCCATCCGTATCTCGTCCCTGCCGAGCGTCACGTCACCCCGCGCTGGTTTCACGCAGGGGATGGGGCTCTCTGCCCTCGCTGAACTGCAACAGGGAGAGGAAGAAAAAACATCAACTGCAATTTTTCCTCCTTTTCTTTTCCCCACTAGTTAAGGAAACCTCTGATTGAGCGGAAGCGAAGGGAAAGGATTAATAACTGCTTGGACCAGCTGAAGGAGACCGTTGTGGGCGTGTTTCACCTGGATGTAAGTGCTCATTTTTACGCAGCATTTTGCCCTTTTGCTGGGGTGAGGTGGGGGGAATAGATCTGGGGGGAGTGTTTCTCTCCTCCTCTCCTTTGAGAAACTAGGCATGGTACAAACCCTTCATTGCCTCTAACTGCTGCGCTCTTTCCTTATCAGCAGTCTAAACTGGAAAAAGCAGACATCCTCGAAATGACAGTGAAGCACCTCCAGAACATCCAGAACAGCAAGCTGATGGGTGAGTGCCCGGTCCCACACCCTGCGAGGGCGGGCGGCACTGGGGCAGGAGGGTGCCAGCGCGTTTAATCCGCTGGCAGCTTGGCAAAAGCATCTTTCACTAAAACCAGCCCCAGTTGAGGCTGGGGCTGCTGCTGGGGCTTGACTGTCTCCACTAGGTGGGGAGATGGAGCTGGGCACCAGCGAACCCACGGAAGGGTTCTTCCTCTTCCAGAGCTGCTTTCTGCTTTTTGTTGCAATGTTGCCCTTGGCGGTGGGCAGGAGGAGGTGGAGGCTGCCTGCCTGCGCCCCTCGCACCCTGCATCATCTTCCCCCTGTGCCCCGCAAATGACCCCCTTTGTGGTAAAGCCCCGTCGGCTTCAGCAACGAGTCCCCGGGGAGCCCATGGGCAGGGGGACCTGGGGACCGCTTGTCAGCAGGGACGTGCGGGAGGCTTTTACCCGCTCACCAACTCCCCTTGTCTCCCCTCCAATGCAGCCGACTCCAAACTGGGGCTCGAAGCACAGCAGAGGTACAGCACGGGGTACATCCAGTGCATGCACGAGGTGCACAACCTCCTCCTCACCTGCGAGTGGATGGACAAGACCCTCGGAGCAAAAAAAAGCTGAAATCCTTACCCAGGTCTGGCGAAGACACCGGCAAAGCGGCATTAAGGTCTTCCAGCCCATCTCAGCAGCTTCCCTCGATGCCAAAAAGCCCCCTGAGCCCTAAGGGGAGAACGCGGGGCACAAACCTGGCACAGGAGCGCTTCTACCCGGCGGAGAACAAGCAGGCTTCCAAGAATTCCTTCCAGCTGCCGCAGCTGTCAGTTTTCAGCCAGGTTGATGCTGCACCTCCCAGACAGGTCCTGCAGCCAAATTTTTCCCATAACAACCCAAGAATGGGGTCGTTAGATATGTGGAGACCGTGGTAAAATGTGTTTTAAAATGTTGAGCCTAACCTTAGACACTCTTACGTATGTATCTTATAGATATGTTTCTTTAAAACACTTGTGGGGCAAGTCTGTTCCTGTAGGTGTACTAAAGACCAGGGTACTTCAAGACGAAGTAAACCTATGTGTAGCCTGCATTGTAGAAGGCTGCTATTATTTTGTATTTATTTAATACATCTAAATTATTGTATAGAATCCTCTCATGCTCTTTAGTGTATATTAATTATACAGCTTTCTTCTCTTACATTAAAATAATTAACTTCTGATTAATAAAAATACAAGCAAAGACCCTCTCTGGCATTAAGCTGCTCTCTCAGATCTCACATAAGCTGCTGAGATCACTTCTTTGGACAAAGGAGTAAACAGCCAATCTCTTCTGCTTTTTATTTTTATTATTATCCCTGTGCAGCTGCAGGAGATTCCAGATCTGACTCCTGTGCAGCAG